CGCTTGTTTGTGCTAAGTGTCGCGCTTTTTACCTATCTGGAAATGGTACACAAGTGCCTCTCAAATTTCTCCAAACACAATATTTTGGTTTTGATTAGAAGCAGGGCCGTACCCAGAAAAAAATTTCGGGGGGGGGGGGGGGGGGGGGGGGGGTTTCGGGGACAACGGCGGTCATTTTGAAAGTGTATATTGTCTTATTTTCGCCTATGAATCATGTGTATCGGTGGCATATAATTAGGGTTCGGAGTTTTCGGTTTAAACCGATAAAAACCGATAAAAGTACGCCGAATCCATTTTCGGAAATTCGGTTTTAACCGAAAAAGGTCAGTTTTTAGGGTCGGCATTTTTTTTTTTTTTTAACCGTTAAAACTACGTCGCGTCCATTTTCTAAAATTTAGTTTTAACCGGAAAAGGTCACTTTGACCTTCCAGTCGTATCGCAGAGCCGTGGCGAAAAAGTGGAACGACAGTGTCTATCGAAAAGTGCCATCACGACGTTTTGGTTTAATGTGCGCATCATCGATCGGAACGTGAAGTCCGAAATGCCCCATAACTTCGCCATGTACGAGCGTGTTTTCAAACTCGTTGTAAGGAAGACTGACTTGATGCAGGCTCTGAATGCTGTGTTGAGCTTCACAAAGTCGCACAGTCTCTCTTTTGGCGGTCACAATTGGTCGATTGGCCGATTTTGGCTCAGGCAGCGCTTCATCCCCTCAGCCTACCAGTGTCCAGTATTAGTGTTGAGTGGGCATTCTCGAACCTTAGGGCCATATTAACAGGAAAGAAAGAGTGCGGATCAACGAGGAGAAATTGAGAACGTACATATGGGTGTACCATAATAAGATAACGTAGTCCTGATGTACATAAAGTGAAGTCGCATGTTTTTTGGGCATAGGCTTCATATCTGACTTGTTTGTGCTTCTCGGGTTTTTTCTTGTTTCTTTTACAGTTGCACACATTTGCCGAATAAAGTGTCAATTTCTTTTTCAATGTACCTGTGCCGTTATCCTTTGAGTGATCACAAATGTCAGAGCTACAAGGATCATCTGATCCGGTGTCCGTTGGTGTTTATTTATATTCACCGAAAAAAGCCGATAAACTTTTGTGGGCATAAATATACACCGAAAAAAACCGAAAATTGAATTTTAAAGTAAACACCGAAAAAAGTACGCCGAATTTGGAAAAAATAGAAACCGAAAACGCAGATCCCTACATATAATGGAGAGTTACAGCAAACCGGAGAACCGGTCCCGGTTTGGTACCCGGTAGCCGACCGGCGCCACTGCGCGTGCGCAGAGGTGGAGATTAAAATCGGCTGACTGCCAGTGCACCGACCAGGGCCGTACCCAGAAAAAAATTTCGGGGGGGGGGGTCAGAACCCCCAAACCCCCACCCCTGGTTACGGCCCTGGTTAGAAGTGTTATAAATGTTTATTTCACAATGAAAAACAAACAAAAACAGAAATGAAATGACACACTCTATAGATTCCTACACAAAAGTCAAGACCGGATCGTACGGCAGTGAAAAAAATGTCCCTTTGGGGACATTTTTTTTTTTTGTACTTTCCACCTTGGCCTTTTTTTCAGGGACATTTTTTCCGGGGAGATTTTTTTTCCGAGGACGTTTTTTCCGGAACCCGTGGGATGTATATAAGAAAGTTTGCTGAATAAGCTTTTTGCTTAGGTTGAGCCTTTGTCCTTCTGCCACCTTTTTCTTTCTGTTCCACGGCATTGGCGGCATTGGCCCTTCACTCACTTCCATGTGCGCATATCGCTTTCACACGGCCAAAGCATTTTCAGCTCACTCCTCGGAAATTACCGCGAAACTTGATACAGGGGCTGCAGAAACCTAACGGCGAGAAGAAAGCAGGCGACGTCCGCATACCAGTTGCGCTAAGCCTTGTGAGCACTTCGAGCTGCGCGATGGCGATATCGTCGCTGGATTCTCGCGTCGTCGCACAAACACTACTCTGAACGAAAAAGAACGACGTACACCCGGTAGGTAAATAATACCGTGGCAAAGAGCAGCATAATCACTGCGAAAAGTTGGCATCTCGGACGCGTAGTAAGGCGCTTAGGTAGAGGCGGCCATGTTGAAAATATTTGTTCAGCAAAAAAACTGGATTGGTGCGCAAAGTTGTGACGTCACGAAAATCATTGAACGCGATTGACCGGCGGAGTAATATCATTTCCTTTGAGCAGCATTTGCCACTTCGCTCTTAAGTTGTCACCGACTATTGGCGACGTGCGCAATCGAAAGCGTCGCTTTGGTCGGCCTTCCACGATTGGCCAAATGGTGATTATGACCTCAGCAAAGGTTCTCTCATCGACAGAAATAAGAGTAATGTAAGAAATTCAACTTTGAAGGTGTTGGCAGTGTTGGTTTCAGAGCGCAGTGATATCAAGCTTCCACCATGCTAATTATAAACCCCGTCGAACTTGTTGTTTGTAAGGTAATGACGTCACGAGAGGAAGCCATAGGAGGGCGCCACCAAAACATCTCGCCACCAAAACATCTCGCCGCTAATAGATTCCTCGCCCCAGTGTCGAATAACTAATCAAAGTGGTAAATATGCATTAGCTCGCCTGCGCTCTCACAGAAATTGTGTCCTCTCAAGCCGGGTTCCACACTGCTCATACATTTTACAAAAGACAGTCTGAACACACATTTCAAACGCGAATCACCGGGAGATCCGTGCTTCGAATGCCGCAGGGCAATGAGTTCAAGGAGCACACGTGGCAGGCGGCATTCGAACCGCGAATATTGCGGTGACTCGGTTTGCAGACTGTCTTTTGTATGATGTATGAGCAGTGTGAACCCGGCTTTATGATTTCCACCTGTGACATCACATTCAGAGTTTTCTTGGACAAGTCAGAGAGAATACATAATTATTAACAAAATAAACGCATCACGATCTCTTTAAAAAAGTCACGCATCTTATCCTCAGTTGTAAACGACAAGTTCAATGGTGTATGTGCGTGTGCAAAGAGCACAGTGGAAGCTTGAAGTAATCGCAGCACCATCAAAGTTGACGTTCTTACCTTACCTATATTTCTGTAGATTAAAGCCTTATTCTGTAAAGACGTCATAGTAAGGTCCGGGATAATACTGGAAGGCCGTGCACAGCGACGCTTTTTAGTTGCGCACGCACACTTGCGATCTCAAGGTAGTCCAGCGACGCGTAGTTTCTGGCTTTGGCCATTGTTTTTATTTAAGCCACCACTAAAAAAAGAGATAGGCCATAGTAGGAGTAATTGCATGTGCTCCGTTTATGCAGTTACTCTAGCCGTAACAGCCATAACACCGGCGTAACAGCCGTAACAGCCCTCCTGGGGCCCTTGTTGCGCTTTTTGGACTCCCACGGCGACTACGGAAAAGGAAGTGACGTCAGCAAGGCAGGAAAAGCAGATTGTATGTTGACTGATGAGAACCAATCAACATTCAATCTGCGTTTGCTGTGTTATTGACGCCACTCCCTTCTTTCTAATCGCCGTCCGAGAAGCGCAACATAGGGTTTTTGTGGTCGAATGATATGCCTCCGCTACTTAGTGCAACTTTAACCTCATGCCCCATAATCTCGTGCAGATTTTTGGTCACTCAAAACCATAGAGTTATTACAATAAACGCTAGAGGCTCAGCTGGCGCTAGTGTCTACAAGACTTCCGGTTGCAAATTGTAGCAGACAGCATGCAGTCTACATTTCCAGCCTCCCTGTGTATTCCTATGGGAAAACGCGCGTGAATTATGTATATTCGCCGGAAAATAACATGAATAACTTTTGTCCTTTCGATTGTACCGGATAGTATGCACCTTTATTGGTATTGTGAAAGTGTAATTGCTTTAGTTACAGCATTTTTCTCTACCACTTAACGATGTTAAACTTCGCTCTACTTCAGGTCCAAACCTGTGTTTCAAGGAAGGTATGTGAAAACGAGCGACGATTCTAAACAAACTAACGATCAAAAGGAATGCAGAGGGTGTTCAAGGTTTGCTAGCATGCCCTTCCTGTCATTGGATGAAAAATGACTCCGTCGTGCACCTTTACGATCGGTTAAAGAAACATTCGAACGCAAACAATAAAACACGTGAGCTACGAAAGGTGTCTTTTTATTATTTTCTATGTCGGGCAGTTTTTATTGGGCACCTGCTCTCTGGCTCCCCCTATTTGCAAAGACTTGGAGTGTCCGGGTGATGATTTGAACCCAGAACAAGCATCTTCGCACATATTTATGAGCAGAAAGAATAAAGCGGTACTTATGTATTGCAAATCTGACTATATTACGTGGCTTTCAATTTATTTTGATCGTCTGCGTGCACAAGGAGTTACTTATCCAGTGTTACTGCGTAGTTCTTGCCATCTCTCTTGGTTTTCCACGTGTCCTTCGATCTTTGGCACGTATATCCCCCATGCTGGAAAGCGTCGACGCCGTGTTCGCGCTAACAGTGTCCGACACTGCACATAAATCAACGTACGAAGCGGTTTCAACACCGTTTTTCATACCACGAATTTCAAATAAAATACTGTAACTGACCAATTATTTCGTCTGCGTAACTCAGAATTGTTACAATGTGCCTAGTATGTACAAATTATTAGTGATATTTGCTCTTATAATCGAGGGCAGAGAGAAAATGCACTCGCTTTTTCCCATAGAAATGCATTACCGGATGTCAATTTCTGACTGCTTGCTGTCTGCTTCAAGATACAACAGCACACTAGCGTCAGCTGAGCCTCTAGCGTTTATTGTAATAACTCTATGCTCAAAACAATCTTCAGAGAACCCCTCCTGTTCCTGAGCATGCTTCTTAATCGCAAGACGGTTTTTAAGAGGGTATGTTTGACTTGTCCATGGGAAATGTTCGCCGAATGTTCGTCATGTGAGATCGACGTAACACCAGTTTGAGCCAAATGTGAACCAACGTTACCTTCTTTTACCAGCTGCTCTTTACAAGCTTTTAAGCTCGTAAAAAGAAAGCCAACCAAGGACGAAGGCCCGAACTCACCCGTCAGGTTGTCGCGGCACAGCTGACTTGACATGTGGCGCCGCCGACTCGTCGTGCGGAGTTTCCAAGCCGAACATGCCGAGCAGCTGTGGAGCAAAAAAGCAAACCGCCGCTTTCAGGTTGAGTGTCGGTAATGTGTTTGTGCGAGCGTCTGTGTGCGCATCAGCGGGAAGGAGGCAGCTGGCTGTGAAAGAACCTTTTTTTTGCAGCGAACTTCTTTTTCATCTTTAACAACGCGGACAGGGAAAGAAAGTGAAAGATCGCTGATCAGCACACCGGAATCGTTCGATTTACTTGCACCTCCTGCACCGGAAGAGATACGACCGGAAGTGCATTCTACATACCGGAAGTACACTGTCCTACACCTTTTTGCACGGGTGCAGCAGATGCAAGTAAATCGAACGAGCTATAATGTGTGGATCATGGTAGGTCTAGTTTTGGTGCAGGATATTTTGGGACCGGACGTTTCGGTGGCGGTCGTTTCAGTACCGAGCGTTTTGGTAGACGCTGAGCCGTGTCGGTAAATTTTAATCGGAGTAATTTCTTTTGTATTCTGGGAATAATTAATGGAAGAAAGATTTCTGAATTTGTAATTTTTGTTGGATTGCTTCTTACCAAAGCAACGTTCTAAGTAAAAAAAAAAAAAAACAACAAAAAACAAAAAACAAAAACGAATTGAAGTTATGCGACACTATATGACTTTTATTCCAAGAAAGTTTCGATGAGCGTAAATATACATCTTTATAAGGCGAACGAGTTCTTAATTCCGGAGTTGTATATTTTCGATGTCTACGAAAGCTTGATTTCTAATCAGAATAAACGTGCCCTTGCCAATTTAAATATACAGGCGCTCTGGGGTTCACTTGTTTTTCAGGTTACATATAGGATTGGCAAAAATGATTGGAGCAATAAATTAATGAGGCAATTTTATTGCTTTGTTTGGAGAGACACGACAAGAATATTCATACAAGGAATACTCATTCATTCATTCATTTTATTTGCTCCTGCATGTTGAAATACAGTCGCTGGAGGCATGGGTAAAACGCCGACACTCGTCGGCTTGACGTTGTCCATGTCCCCCACTTCATTGAAAGACGGCAGAAAAGAAAAAAAAAGAGCAGTTTTTTGACGGTTAGCCGTTGAGTGTAGATGTCTCGAACTGATTTCCGCCTGGTCGATGACATCGACGAAGTGTCACAGAAGAAACATGGAAACTGATCATAATAAAATGCAAGGTATGGAACTAATATTTTACAAAATATAATTCTGCATATACTTGTCGCCGTTTTTTGCTGCTTGTCATATTATAGAACTATAGTCAAGTCGAACACTGAGTCCTTCTTGTTCGCTAGGCATAAAGGACGCCATCGCCAAACATTCAACGCGTAAGAAGCTACGAGAAGCCAGCGGTGGACAGGAAGAAACAAACAAATTTATAATATAGCCCTAGACAGAAGACACGTGTACAAACGCCTACAGGTAAGTTATATTTAGCAACTTTTACATGTGACACTTTTCGCACTCTCGTAATTTCATCCCGTTCACTGTCGCAGAACAAAAAGTTACAACGCTACTAAATAAAGGACACGAATAGTTATTCAACTTTGAACAAAGGTAAGAACCCAATGTTCAGTACAAAAAGCCGCTACGCTTAGCGGGCGAAGTGAATAAAACAGGGAGTTTTCGTAGGTGGTTTTCGCCGGCCCGCAACGGCTCTCCACACAGCTCCGCTACGATGCCCGGAACTCTAGAGTCAAGGTCATGAGCGCGCAGGCGCAGTAGCGGTTTCTTCATTGTGGAAGGCTTAGCGGAGAGTGAAACGCGGCCTACGAAAACTCCCTAATTACTCAGGAGAGGTCACTGCGAAATATGATTTGATCTCAAAGCAGCATGGTCAGCGGGGTAGCGTCAGCGCTGCACCCCCCCCACCCCCTCCCCCCCCCCCCCCCCCCCCCCCCCCGAAAAAAAAAAAAGGAATAATTTGACATTAGTTAAAAAAAAAAATTCTGAGGACACCTAAGCACTTTTTATGAGTTGTGAATGCGAAAGCATAAATGTGCGATTGAACGCCGATGAGCACTCCTAGAAGACCCCGCGGCGACGAGACTAGCAGAAGCGGTTGCAGCGCCGGCGGGTGTGTGAGTTGCGACGCATGGCCTTCGAGATTCGGGATCTCGGAGGCCATGCTGAAAGCAGAGTGTAGAACGCGGGATACTTCACGTGTTCTACAAGGGAACTAACGCTGTGTGGTAAGCAAAACTTTCGACCGCAGTCATTAGTGCACTCGCTGCCATAGAAGACGACGATGCTTGGCTCGTGAAATATATTGCAGACATGTACAAATTACTCAAAAAAGGCATTTAAGTTACTGAGTATCGACGCCAAAAGTAATTGGAGTAGAGTAGAAATTACGAATTTGTAATAGTAAATGAGTAAACTACTAACTACTGGAAAAAGTAGCGAATTACTTTGAATTTACTTTCGAAGTTACTTTTTTATATTTTTGTGGTAGCAAACTGAACACCAGTTTTGATCCGTGAAAAACCCTACGAGCATAAAATAAATGCAGTCATTTTAGGGCTTACGTTTTCACCAAAATAGTTTATTCGCTCTCAGAAGCAACGACTTTCAATGTTTTTGATAGGAGAATTTTCCACTTTTCCTTCTAAAGACAAAAAGTCAAGCTAAAAAAATGAGCGCAAGTTGGGGCGAAGCTCTGGTGATGCTGATGATACTGATTTTGTTCATAGGTAGTGCTGATGTCAGAAAGAGATATGTGGTATGGAACGTGGTTATACGCGCATTTGAGCATTTGACCGCGGCGCCCTCCCTTCTATAAACGTTGAGCCAATGCATGGAAAGTTTAACGCGATTATATACGCATTTAACCGCAGCGCCCTCTCCTGTATAGACGTTGAGCGGCTACATGCAACGTTTCATCCATGACATCCCCAGCCCTTGAGTTACTACCACATCTCAGAGCCCCCTACAGTCGTGGCCCGCAGTCGTGGCCGAGTGGGAAGGCGATGGACTAGAAATTTATTGGGGTCTCCCCGCACAGGCTCGAATCCTGTGGACTGCGCAAACATTTTTGTCTTTTTTAAAGAAGACAGATGGGATGGCAATCGATGTGAGCACGGACGCCAGACGGACAAGGCTAGACCCTAAGGAGCTTCGCTCCTAAGAAGGTATCCTTCCTCTATCCCGGGTACGTCAGAATTAAATATGGTATCACTCATGCAAAGTGGGGTGACATAACAGCGGAACGAGGGCTACAATCAAGGTGGAGAATAAAAATCAAGATGACTTCAATCGTGATTCAAATCAGACCGGATTAACTAGGGTGAAATATATCAAATCTTTCTCACGAAAGTATTCCCAAAAATATGTTTTTTTAGTTTACCGTTTTTTTTATTAAATTGCATGCTTTTAATATCGCCTATGTTCTGCCTTTATATTAAAAAAAATATACGGAAGAATGATTCTCTGAACGAATATGAATATATAAATATTGATAAATGTCATCATGTGCGCATCACAAAATAAACTAAACCGCTGCTTTTTTCATTTTTTTTTTCATACAGCCAAAATAGCACTACACTGACCGTAACTCCAGAAGTAAAATATCTTGGGACAACTTTTACAGAAAGGTTATCTTGGCAGTCCGACATTAACAAAATAACCGCTAAAGCGACTGGTATGTTGTATTTTTTTGACGCAACTTTAGAAGCTGCCCTCCCAAAGCTAAGGAGACATTGTATTTGACAAATATAACGCCCATTCTTGAGTATGCTTGTGTACTCGGGATCCCCAGATACAGTATCTTTGTGGCAACCTTGAAAGGGCTCAAAACAGAGCAGCGATATTCGTGACTGGAAATTATGATTATACTGTAAGGTCGAGTGTCCTAGAAGACTGTCTTGGTTGGCAGCCGCTAAAATGCCGAAAATTAACTTTACATTTAAAACGCTTTCATAACATTTATAATAACAAAACGGGCATAAACAGGGGATCGTTTCTTCGGCTACCTTACTTCATATCACGTTTTTCCTCTTACCGCTCTCAATGGAACTATCTAGCCGAGTCGCTTGTCATGATATCATCCGACAATGTGTTGTTTCCAGACTTAAAGGGGTACTCCACCGATTTTTCGAGCTACCTCAACTAACTATATTTTCTGACTCCCCGGCCTTTACTCTCTCCGGTATGCTATTTAGAATCGCGAAATTCATAATAGTTATTGCGAAATCGGCAAATGAAAATGATGCAAAAACCAACATTCAAATATACGCGCGCTTTTCAGGGCCGTGACGTCAGTGGCAGGCAGGCTTGCCAGTCGAGCAAGCAGCCAAAAAATTTAATATGCCAATCATTTGTTCCGTGCTGGAGCGCGGGTACTGCAGCGAGCTTCCCAAGCATTCATTTGACACCATGAAACTGCTTCGAATCAGTTTAAAACGAGATCTACAACCCAAAGAGTGAACCCCTGCCTTCCACTGACGTCACTTTTTCATTGTTGCCAGTAGAGACTTCGAGCTTGAAAAACACGGTGAGGACCAAAATTGTAAATTCAATAACTTCGCGAAAAAACAATATTTTGACCTAATATTTGGGATACTATTTTCGCGATGTTTGTTGGTTAGTTTAGCAAAATTTCAAGCAAATCGGTGACAATGAAAAAATCGGTGGAGTAGCCCTTTAAGCCCGAAACACATGTACGACGAAACCTACCGATCCGACGTGCGGACTGCCGGAATGACCTTGGGGGGAGAGGGTTTTCCTAGCATCGGAGAGCGTTGAAAACCCTCGCCTCCGACCGTCGTATTGCGCGGTCGGACGTCGGATCGGACGCTTTCGTCGTACATGTGTTTCACGCTTTAAGCGCGAAACACATGTACGACGAAACCGTCCGATCCGACGTCCGACCGCGCAATACGACGGTCGGAGGCGAGGGTTTTCGTAGCATCGGAGAGCGTTGAAAACCCTCGCCTCCGACCGTCGTATTGCGCGGTCGGACGTCGGATCGGACGGTTTCGTCGTACATGTGTTTCGCGCACACATGCGCGATAAATCCACCCGATCCGACGTCCGATCTGGCAGTACGACTTCCTGATCCGAAAAATTTGGTCGTTTCGGACGTCGGATCGGCGATCCGACATGCCTCCAACCCGCCAGATAGTTTCGCACGGCGGACGGATTGTCGGATGCGTCCAGCCAATGACAGCACAGCTAGCGCGAACGTCATGATGACGTACTGGGTCTGTCGGGACGAACAAGAAAACGGGACGGGCGACGGGAAGCCGGGCGCGTGGATCCCGCTGACCCATTCGAGAAAGATGGCCCCGGCAAAGAATGCAGGCGCTAACGAGAACGAGCTTCTAACTTCGCTCGTGCGAGCTAAACCGTCAATCTGGGACCAGAGATCTGTGAACGCGGACCTCCGCTGGAGTGCTTGGATCTCCTGGGCGGAGCCGAACGGATCGTCGTGTCGCATGCAAGGTCGGAAGCCTGTGTCTCAACTGTCGCGTGCGGCGATTCGGAGCGGCGTTCGGACTGTCGGATCGGAGGTCGGATCGAACGATTCTGCCGTCCATGTGTCTCGCGCTTGCACCCTGTCTCCTGATTTTGTCAAATGTGTTAATAATTGTACAAAACTTACTATTCGTATCTTTCCTGCCACTAGCAAACTTTACGCCACAAACCTAGAGTTCGTTATTTGTTTTTCTCTCGCTGTACTCCCCCCCCCCCCCCCTACTTGCTTTTCTGTAATGCTTTTTGGCGCTGAAGTGTATATTTAATAAATAAATAAATAAATAAATCTTTTTGCAATCAAATCAGAAGGCAAGAAATAGAAACGTAAAGAGGGAAAAATAATGTCGTATTTGAAAAAAAAAAAAAATTCAGATCGCAAAAAGGTTAACACAACTCTTCCCCCCCCCCCCCAAAAAAAAAATAAAAAAAATATGAAGGTTTTGTTTTAGAATGGCGGGGTTTTCATAAACAAAATTGTGGTCAAACTGCAGTAATTTTATTTTCCGCGTTTTTTTTTTTCACTTATCGGGAAATTGATCAAACAACGTGCCATGTTTAAAAATGCATAGAATAATAGAAAATTAGTGTTTTCTAGCTACAGTGATATTAGTCTGATATAAATCAAATATATCTGACGTAGTCTTTTAAAGAAATTGATGTTTTTAAATTAATATTTTATCCTACTTTTGCCAATAGCAGAGCGACCTGGTGTGAAGTGTGTACACTACGTGGCACTGTCACATAAACCAACGATGGGCTTTTGTTTCCCCTTACATTTTAGTTGTTTCCATCAAAACTGCTAGTGCGATGGAAATTGCTCATTGGGGGCACAAACTCGCGCGATAAAAGTTTGACGCTGCTCAATCCTTTTCTAAGGGCGAAAAATAGCTTCGCGCTAACTCCGTTGCACGGTGTACCGCCTGCGTGAGAGGTGCCTCAAACCTTGGTAGCACTACTGCTACTAAATGATAACGACCACTTTACATAATAATTTAATTCGAAGTGAATGTTTCTCCGGTGTTCCCAAAAGACTGGAGAGTTTTTCTCCGAACCCGCGCAAAAGTAGGTGAGCTTTTCTCCGGAAAGCTTTTTCCCGGGATTCATTTTTTCCCACACCCAAATAAGGCGAAAGACTAAGCCACATGCTTTCATAGGATCGAGGGGCTGCAGTACTAAGGAAACTACACTATCCCTGAATACGCAACACAAAATAGTTAACGCCGAGTATAAGGAACCTAGAAACATGATATCACACAGAAAAAAATGTCTCGAAAAAGATGCAGACCGCAAAGAGCACTGTCGGGAAAACAGGAAGATTGATAAGCCTCTTGTCTGGCACAAAAGAAAGGTTCAGCAAACCAAGATTGCGAACGGTTACACTCTATTCTGTTGAATCATAAGGGCAGACGTTACAATCTACGAGCGAGGACAGCACCGATACAGGGTTGAGCGTCCTATAGGATTTGAGCGGGTTTGCCCAGCACGCCAGCTCGAGCAGTAAAAGCGCCGTTTACAGGGCGACATCCCATGACTGCGAATACGCCAGTCGTCCTGTCACTGTCTTGACGTGTTTATATATCGTAAAAAAAAAAAAAAAAAAAAAAAAATGAATAGAATAAAACGGCACGCCCACGGCGAAGTCTTACTTTGGGGACATCTTTTTCGTGCAGTAAGATATCGGCCGAAAGCACTGGGACTGAGAGCTGGGGCGAAGAAAAACACAATAAATAATAATAATAAGATAAATATAATGCTCAGGCTCCCGTCAAACTCCCGTGAACGCAAGCGTAAATAGGGAGTTTTCGTAGATCGTTTTCGCCGTCCCGCAAGGCCCTCCGCAACCCGCTACGATAGCGGGAACTCCACAGTCAAGGCTATCGGCACGCAGGCGCAGTAGCAACTGCTTCGTTGCGGAACGCTTAGCGGAGGGGGCAGCGCGGTCTACGAAAACTCCCTAATGTGATGTTTGCTCCGTCCGTCACTTTACGTTTCTCCTTGACGGTCTCTCTCTCTCTCTCTGTCTGTTTGTAAGTGCACATTCACACAGACACGCACATGCAGGCAATCACTTACACACACAATGCAATAAAAGAGTTTACATTTAACACGACAAGAAAAAATAAAGAAGAAAATGCTGGAGGGGTTAGCATTGGCATATACTATTCCATACAGCAGAAATATTACCCAGCTCACTATTATAGTAAAATGGAAATTGAGCATGATGACAATATTGGGCGCGAGCCTGCTTAATCGTCGCCGGCGTCTGCGACGCAATACAGAAACGCGCGAGCTTACCTCTGCTACGACGTATGTTTTTGTTTTCTTCTTTTTACTTATCCTGTATAGCGGCGGCATTTGCACGCATCAGCGAAGATTTCGGACAGTCGTCGCATCAGCCTGCAACGTTCCGAGCCGGTACATCATCACAGTACGGGGCATGGCCAGTGTTGGAAAAGTCTGACCTGTTCACACCGGAAATGGAAGACCGGGAGGTTTTTGGCGAAGCCACGTACAACCCACGAGCGGAAGCCGGCGGCGAAGATATTTTGAACGAACAGCTGGAACTAACGAGCTTGACAGCGCGGCTGGCGTCGCCAGCACTCTTGGAAAACGCGCTTCGGTGAAACGAAAGAAAAGAGAAAGCGAAAAAAAGAAAGAAGAAGAAATGTCATATTAATCAAAAGCTCGAAGACTTTGTTACATAAGTTCCACGAACTGCAACAAAGTCGGGTTTCTAGCCGATCATATTTTTTTATGTGAGTGGTATGAGGCAAATGGAAAGAAAACGGGTCGTAGCATTGAAGTTCAAATGATCTGAAAAAGCTATAATAATTTCCAAAGCAAATAAATATATATAAAAATATACAAAGAAAAAAAAATCGAGAGCAAAAGCAAAGCGTTAATGATTGCGCTCCTGTATGCGTGGCGCCATCGCGTGACTAAACTGGAAAAGAAGAAATGCGAGTTGGTAAGAAGTGATGCATGCTTCCACCAGATGGCAGCACGTAAGCTTCTACCTCGCAAATCTTCAAATATTGTTTTACGAGTATCTCGTAGCTTCTCTAGTCACGTGGCGTGCATTCGCCATACATCTTGAAGACAGCTTATTTGGAATGCTCACAAAGGCAATTAAAATGGTGCTTTCCTTTCGAGGGCTGAAGCGTTCAGTTCCATCAAAAGTGTACTCGAACGCAGCACAACGAGATCGCAAGCTGTCACGTGATGTCATCATGTTACGTGACGTCAGGGTATCACATCACGTCACAGGGTCACGTGACGTGACACCACAGTTTCTCCCCTAATTTACGAGGAACCGTCTCCGCTTAAGACCGATTCAAAGAGCCGTTCGTTAGAAACGCTTCTCTGCATTTCGCAAAAAGTCCAAGCCAGACAATATTTAAAAAAGAACAAAGAAAAAAAAAATCACACAACTTATTTTGAAGCAAGAATGTTTTATTTTACACCGATTGTATTCTTGGCTATAAAGCTTCATAAAACAAGTAAAAAAAATTAAGCATAACGCTGTCTAACACGCAATTTCCCCGCTAACTTTATCGGGAAACGATGAATTGGTTTATCATTATACACCAATAGGGCCCTTTTCAATAGTGCACGCCAATTTGTAGCTTTTTTGTCAATTATTGGACACGGACTCCGACCATCTATTCTATTGGACACGAGAGGCGTTTAAGCGTTCGGCGTGAGCTCGGCTGATCTCATAACGAGAACGTGCGCCGCGTCAGCATTCGGTCAGGTTTCGCATCCAATCAAACGCTTAGGGCCCATGAAATGGCTGCCGCCAGTGTTGCCTGACAGGGTTTTTTAAGAGTGCTTATTCTGGTTTCTTCCTAATTATAGGGGGCAAACACTTTCCGGCAAATATTTAATGGAAATAAGAAATCAACACGTAACACGCATAACACATTTTACCTGACATTACTAGCACCCCCCCTTCTCATCAAGCACCCCAAAATGTTTGGTTTTTATCTCGTCATTCTTGGGGTCCTTATTTCTTCAATAATTTATAAGTACTGATGAGGATGTTGGCAGTAACTTCACAGTGCTGGCTACAGCGTACCAACTCTTACATGAAGATGAACCAAACATCTATATAGAACTTAGTGTTCGCTAGATACTACTCACTGCACAAGAGGGACGATTCAGAGAGCGCGCATCACAATGATTTGCTCTCCGAGCGTAGCAGGAATGTAGAAACAATGTTTCTAGAGTAGATCCCGTCACATGTCTTTACTCCGGTCGTTTGCAGGCTTGGGAGATGTTCGGCGACTGGGCGATTGTCGAGTTTTTGACAGCATTTCGATGATGCCCTTACGCCCGCAAAATTAGCCCCCTTTGGACCGAAGAAATACGGGGACCTAACGCGCAAGAGCCGCACCAAAATCACTCCATCAACACTGTAACCCGCACTTTGGGGCTGCAAAGGCCTGGAGTGTCATATTCGAGAAGCCCTGGTTACTACCCTCGGCGAAGAAAAACCGACGACGCTGGAGGAGTGGGCCCGTCCAGAGGGCTCTATGAAGCACAGAAAGGCCATAGTTGACTCTGATCCACTACATCAGGAGGGCGGGAACCTATAGGATGTTTTCACGGACGTAATTTCGTCCACCATTTTGTTATTGTGAGCTGTCTGCCGTGTGCCAAACTCAAGCATTCCAAGGATTTACATGACCCCTTAAATGTGTTGAGCACAGAAGCTTATGTGTTACCACGTTGACGCCATCTGAACTGGTTGCGATGTAATCCTTCAAATTAGTAAGTTTGTTTGAAGAAATAAACTAACAACAAAATGGCGGATTGACGTCATGTGCAAACAACCTATACCACGTCATCTAAAACTCGCCCATAGTCAGATTTATCCCTAACCAATCCTACCTAGAAGACAAGCCCTGCGCATGCCGTCATCGTTTTTGGGTCCCCCATGCTGCAAACACACCGGAGCTCGACGAGAGTTGCCCCTAAACAAAAGACGGCGTCCGCCTTGGCGTCACCGCGTGCTATGCGAAGCTCAAGTTCGTCTGCTTCTCTTGCAGGGGATTGTGGTGACGTCAAAAAGAAGCCCAGCTCTGATTGGCTCTGATTGAAAGAGAGGGGATAAACCTCAAGGCAGCTAGCTTTGAGGTCTGCCCACCACTCTTCAATCATAGCCAATCAGAGCTCTCCGTCTTTCTTACGTCACTACAACCCCTGCCCGAGAAGCAGACGAACTTGCGCTCCGCATAGTTTCGCGTTCGTTGTGGGACGCCGCAAGACGTGCCGGTGGCCATGCTGACGCACGTTAAGCGGCGATGCAGGGATCCACTATAGTGAAAACATTTAAAGGGACACGGACAGGGTATTTATGCTCGCCGAGTTTTTATTTTTTATTTTAACATGACCAATAAGAGCCCAACTATACTCAGAGCGCAATTTGCGGCTCCGCCCGAAAAGAGCCGGTCGGGAAATGGCCGGTTTCAGTCGCCCTCACTCTCTTTTTTATGGTCACGTGGCGCTCAAACTATAAGTATCAAAATATATTCAAAGTCGTGGGTCATCTAAGACGCATGTTCAATATTAAAAGGAAAAAAGAAAATGAACCCCAACTTCGTGGCCTCCAAAAATCTCCAAACACGTTGATCGAAAAAAAAAAGTTGCACATATAACAGGAAGTACATTTAAAGGTCATTCTCAATAGGGCGACGTACCGCGGTAGATTATACGATGCGATGGCGGCGCATGACGGATCAACGTTTGCGACGGACGTGGGGCCGGTGATCTGTCGTTCGTGGTACCTGCTAATCGATCGTGGAGTACAGAACATCGAGCGGAAGGGATAAAATTGCGACGCAATCGCGCGTTAAATGGTACACGCAACGTGTCGTCTGCTTCACTGGCCGAAAAAGCGGAGGAAAAAAACAACACAGACGGGTGTAGTCACGTGATTTCCGGCCATGAGCTTCCGTGCTCGTGTCTAATTTTCGGTGTCGAGTAGTTGAGGATGTTTTTTTTTTTTCTTTTTTTTGGGAGGAGGGGGGCGAGGACTGTATCAAAATATGTATTGGACAGTCTCCTGATACCCTATTAAAATCGCCTGGCAAAATACAAAAAAAAACAACAAGAAAACATCAATTTCTTTGGGGTGTCAATAGGCGAGGGTCTTGTCTTCTAAAAGGGATTGTTCCTAACCCACTGACCCTACGCAAACGTACGCCTACCGCCTTAGGAGTATATACAAGGTGATCTGTTGTAATGGAAACAGAATTCTTAAAAGAGAGTGCAGACTTCTACCTGAACGCCGTCTTCGCTAAGTGTTTCTCGACGGGCAATATGGAAGCGGATAACCGCCACAGTCTGTGGAGTAGTGAACTAAATTTCGTTAATTATATGTTTAATTAGCGACATATACACATTACTTCAATTACGAACTTACCGAGTCATCGAAAACCTCCAAATCAGTCAATTTCAGGTGGACTTGAAGCAGGTGGAAAGCACTCGGCTGCGCCAAAGTTACCACTTGTGCAACAGGCACAAGGCTAGCGGTGCGTCCAGGCCGATGATCACTTTACTATCCGCGTTCACGCACCGCTAACCTTGTGCTATGTTGCACGAGTGGTAATTTTGAAGCGCAGAATTGCTTTTCATGCGCTTCAAGTCCATCCGACAGCTAATTTAGGGGTTTCCGACGACGCTCGGCAAGTTTCTAACTTGAACCGTCTGTTTATTCTCACCAATTAATAATTAATCAACTTACTTTAGTTAATTGTTTTACTTAACCTGAGGAATAATCCCATATATTATCTCCCCCTGACCGTATAACTCACCCGCATAAACTGAATTACTTTACCTTTCACAAATTTTTGTAAAATAAATATGTTGGAATTAAAAATTAAACTCTCTCTACAAAGAGCGGATGGACCCCTTCAGGACGTAAATACATTCTTCTCTTTTTCGTTGACATGCGAGGCACAGTCAAATGAGCTATACATGACTTGCACTGACGTCACATTGGCGGCCATTGTGGTATCCATGCTGCTGAGCGCACCTTCGGCAGTATGGATTTCGCGCGATCGAATTAGTTTCTCAAGTAGGAATGACCCAAATTGACCATAGCGCATTGCCATAGCACGGGTTAATGACGTCACCTGCGAGCCATGTGTAGTCTGTTGTAGCTCAAGAAATGCAGGGCAAGCCCCTCTCACAAAGTTACCTGGTCGCCATGATTGGTGGTTTCCTCCTCTCCAGCGTTCACTCTGCTAAAGTGGAAATAGTGGAGGGCTTTGCGGGACGAGCCTGTCCTGCTTTTCTTAACCTGCAACGTACACACACACACCAACAGAAATCTCTGACGTCATGCCACGGCGGTGGCGCTGCCGTCGGCACGGCGCATATGCTCCATGCCGACGGCAGCGCCACCGCAGCAGGGTTACGTCCGAGTCCTCTGGGCGCCGCCTTCTTGCTGCTGGCGTGGGTAAATCGTCTGCTATAAACCTTTTCATTTCAGTAGTTGCCTGACCGGCGGGTAGAGGGCGCTGGCGCACTCGCCGCCATTAGGTTGCTTCAATTTGGTCGGTTTCAGTTTCAACGTGCACGCGATTGTGATACTGTTTCATGACACTTTCGATTGATTTTCCGATATAAATTTCGTTCTTGTAGCGCACAGCGAATGAAACAATAGTAGTGAGCCACTTAGCCAACCACGAAGTGGTTTCGAGCTTAAGTTGCGATCTTTTTTTACGAACACTATATGCGTCTGATTCCGTCCGTCGTTAGTTTCGGCCAGGTTCGGCGGTGTAACAACTGTGCTGATGCACAGGTGGGAGTACCATTGTCCACGGCGTACCCGCAGACACTAATTTCCAGAAGAAAAAAAAAATAATGAAGAGCAGGACAAGCTCCGCCTGCAGCGTGCGCATGTTGCCTGCCGCTGTGCTTTGGCTGTGCGTGCACTGAGCGGTAGGGAAGGTAGATAGCTCGCGCTCAAGTCGGAGCTGCTACTGATAACCTTATATTCTAACAGACTGTATTTCATGAGGTTTTAGTGAAAAAGCAGGTCGATAAGATGATTAACGATCTGCTCAGTCACCAAGAACAGATTAACTGACAAGTTTACTGTTCGATGTTTGGTTTCCGTACACCAACCTCTTCTAACTTCGAGACTGGAAACGTCTTTCATAATGACTAGAAAAGTTTCATATGATCACGTAGATAATATAAAAAAGTGATATTGTGTCGGCCTGTTTTATTTAAAGAAATTAAGCGCTCAAGAAATATTTTGATAGACCAGCCTAGGCTGACTAGAAAATTTCTTTAATCAAAGTACTCATAACAGCATTTAAAAATATTGGCCTTATTAACTAAGCGTTTTGTTATATGGACATTTGCTTACAACATTCTCAAGATATGAGAATGGTGAGATAAGTGAATGCCAGACTTCAAATAAAGTCTGATATTCATCTTCCGTAAAATTTGCCGAATGAAATTGAAGAGCGCAAAAGAAATGATCTCCGATAAGTTTGGCTGAAGTCGAACGCCAGGCGCCAACCAATGGACCTGTGCAGAAAGCTGTTCACTGATTTGAAACGATGCGCTTTGCACATTTTGACGTCACCAGCTACTAAAAGTAGCTGCCTTTTCGTCGTCGACAACCGGCTATACTCGGGTGATTTTCATGCTGAAGGATTCTTTTCGGCGTCACATTTTGTGAATCAAAGGCACTATCAAGCTGTCTGTGACAGTTTCTTACGCGGGGAGTCCACATTTTTTTAATATAATGTTTAATATAACGTTATATTTAAAAAAATGACTTAAAACTGAAAGACTATGGACATGGGACGAAGCACGATATACAATTCCGTGGAATTCATAAATAAACCGATAAAGCGAATGCTTATATCGCACACGCGAATAAGAACGTAAAACAGATATAGGTGTGATATTGCGAACAAACAAGTTGCCTAATGTTAAGGTACCATTATTTCTAGCATAAAAAATATGTCAAACTAAACGTTTTTTCCCGCGTCTTGTCCACAAGTTCCCTAGAGTAATCAAAAGAAATTGGTTTCGATCTGTTGTCAAAACAGCATGCTTTCAGGAAAAAACACGCGGCTAATTACGCTGAGTGTTTTTGTTTCCTTCCTTGACACCGCTTGACACCAATGCGCACTCATATATATAATAACATTGGGCTTCCTATTGCAAATGTTCCGCCCTTATTAAAAACCAAACCTGAGTTCTCATAAGTTATTGGCATTTAAACCCTCGAGGCTCTCTTCAAGTCATATATGTATTCAATGTGCGCAAGTGCTAACGCTCATTCCTGTTCCTATAATGCCTTTCCACACGTATCCCGCACACGCCGACGGTAAAAAAATATTCGAAACGTGTTACAAAATTAACTACAGAAGTTGCGCGCATAATGATGTAATACAATTGCATGGTAAGTATAAGTATCGGACGACACTTTACGGAGTAAGGCAAGAGACGCGGTGAAACGCGATGAAAAACACGAATTCAACGCATCCGCCAAGGAGCGGATGGGAGAGCGGAGCAACAAGTTGAAGCAACCTAATGGCGGCCGCATCACGTGATTCCAAGATGGCAGCGCCCATGCGGCGGAGGGTGAAAAGGTCTATCCCTGCCAAGGCGTGTCCATGGTTGGGAGACTGCCGCCCAAACAAAACATGTTTGCCCCCACAGAAGCCAGACCAGCTTTTGAAACTTGCACACGTCCATAGGACTCATATCCTGGTCACTTGGCTGGGAAACGGAAAAGTTTTGGAGGCTTCATCGTACGATGGCGGAGGAGTGGCACCGGATACTCTTCTGCCCGCCTTGGAGGCTGCCCATGATTCCTTGATGACATCCTCGTAAAGGGGCGGCAACACTGTCCACAGCTCCGTGTGCTGTCCCAAGTTGCCAGATGTTGTCCGGTGACAAAGCTGGCCGTGAAAGCGCTTAATGTAGACGACAACTAAGCCGACAGCGAAGAATCCCGAAACTACGAAGCCGATGATCAGGAATGGCTTTCTTGATACAGAGTTCCCTGCAACAGACAAGAAGGGCGGTCTTCATTCTTTTGTACACTGAAACACTTCTTTTAAAACATAATCTATTCTATGGGGTGGCATAAGCGGATCCTCCGCTGTGAAACGAGCCGGAAAGATCGACGCCTGCGCATAGAATGCTCAAAATTTGACCGAATGTGCACTGAGCACGTCAGCTTTGCCGTGTGAAATTTCCAGGCATAGTTCTTTTCTTGTCAAAAATTAGAGCAACAAACTTTCCAAAATAAACGTGGCCACGTTCAGACGACCGAGTTAGCGACGCTATTTAATTGTGGCGCCATCTTCCTACAGGCGCAGCGAGCAGACAGCGGACCAACTCAACTCGGAGCCAGAGTTCTGGCTCCCAGTTGTGAACGATGCTCATATTTCTCGAATTATTTTGCCACTTGCATTGACTAGAAAGAAAAAAATCTAAGGCACATTTTGTTCAGTTTTTAACGCTAGAGATCGACTTTAAGTAGAATTTAGCGAAAGTACTAGAATCGTTTCATGGCCCCTTTATTATGGACCCGGATAATAAAGATATCCCGCTTTATGGAGACCATTTTCAACGACAAAGAAAAAAGAATACATGCATCTTTGTCTCCTTATTATGGACAACTCACATAATGCACGATTTTCTGAGAAAACGGAGCTGTCCATATTAACGAGACATCACTGTATACCTGGTGTTTAATTTTAATCCGAACATGAAAGGGGGAGGGGGGGGGGAGGGGTGAGGGGACACTACTGCTATCTTTACAGTGTATATATCAGTATCGGAGGACATTAAATGAGGGGATAATCGTGACGAAAATAATCCTTAGAGAAGGCGAACAAGAGGGACAAAGGACAAACACAAATCTCCATGGCACACCTAGGTGTCGTCATGTCAAGTTGACCAATTAACTAAAAATTGTTAAAGAAATATATTATTGCTTTTAGGATTCGTGTTGGAGTCGCAGTATTGGCGGAAGTTATTAAAAAAAAAGGTCAGACCAATTTAATGAATTAAGAAAAAGGAATAGTTCTTTAGTTATTAATCAATATATTTTTGCGTTTTTTTCGCCCAACTTGCGCGAAAAAAGGGGGTACCACTAAGCCTCGCCCAAAATACCGCTTTGAACAGTGACATAATCATTTGGGTCACGTCTTCACTGTGTCGTCAGCGCACCCACCAAGGACACGCTGCCAATGTAGCGACGACATGATTAAAACGACAACGCCATTCTTCCAAGCATCATAGTGGGCTCTTTTTGAGAGGCCCATTTTGAGTGCAATTTTTGAATGCGGGCGAGAAACCCATAAGTTTATTAATTAATATTTCAACAACCGTTACATTTCCGGAAATTTTTTTAAATTGTTCTATCCTCTAATAGAAATCGTTTTTAATAATGCTATTCCAATATGTCCTCTAAAATAATATTAGAAAAGTTGATAAAAAGATTTGAGTTATTTAGTCAACTTACATTGTGACGATTATCCCCTCGTATAATGTCCGTCGAGCCTGATTAATTCAAGATGAGGACAAAACTCGTTTAACTCTTGACACCTTTTTTTTTTTTAATCTGTTCAAATTAAATTGAAACGCCCTGTGTTTGAATGGCTACACCAGCAGTTTCATATCTCGTGTTGCTCGGCGTAAAGATCCCCCTCATTGAGACCTTCAGCCACAGCACAGCACACGGCCTCGCCCACACGCAGGCATCAGTAGCGAAGCGCTGGCGCGTACGCCGGGAAAAGAAGGTATTCAGGTGCCCTACAAGCCGCTATCATCACTTGGACGTTTGATGCCGCGGCCAAAAGATCGTCCCCCTAAAGAAAGAGCGCAGGGTGTTGTGCCATACGCAGGGTTCTCTGCCAGCCACATCGATGAAACAAAAAACCTCACAGAAGTAATTTGACAACACAAAAACGATGTGCGCAGATTCGATCGCGACCGGAACGCTGTTGCGGAGCTCTGTGAGGACAACGACAATCGCATCGACTTTGAAAACACCCGCATCGTAAATGTTGAGACGAACTTTCGCCAGCGGCTTTTTCTAGTTCGTCTGCTTCTTGAACGGGGGTTGCTGTGACGTCAGAACGCCGAGCTCTGATTGGCTCAGATTAAAAGGATTCTGGGTAGACCTCAAGGCAGATAGCATTGAGGTCTATACACACTATCCTTCCAAACGAGCCAATCAGAGCTTGGCGTTGTGACGTCACCGCAACCCTTGCGCAAGAGGCAAACGAACTTGCTCTCCGCATAGGCCCACTAGCACATTACCGCAATTATACGTTAACGGACTGTCACCTAACAAACAATTAAAAAAAAGAAAAAACCTTTACCGTATACAGAAGAAAACGAAGCTCCTGTCCCCAATCTGTAAATATTCGCTCCTGAAGAAAAACGAAGACGGTTTTGAAGCGCTAGCACCTCGTTAAGGCCCGTTCCCACTCTTGCGACCTCTTAGAACTGGGTGCCTTGAAACATCTTACAACGAGAGGACACACTGGCGCCATCTACAGGGTAGCAGTGTAAACTTGGCGGTCCGGCATATTTTCTATTTCTCTCGCGCATTATTCTTTTTTTTCTTGGCTCGAAGAACTTTTGTCGATGTTATAAACGAGCCTTTGCTATAGGTATTACGCACATTTGACCTCGGAAATCCCGCAAAATCTTCGCTCTTGTGAAATGCAGTTCCATGGTCACCACATAGATGGCGCCAGAATGTCAGTGTGTTCCCTCGTCCTAAGAAATCTTAAGAGGTTTCAACAGGACTCGTCTTACTCGGTCGTGCTGGGTTGCAAGAGTGTGAACGGGCCTTTATAGGATTTGGTTGGTGATTTTATTCAATTTTCTAACGACGTATATGGCGTGCTCACAGTCGCTTCCCGTAACGCCCTCCATCTGACCGAAGAGAGTCATACGAGTTCGCCTTCAGCGTTCGGCTGGAAGAGACGTGCTCTGTCATTGGAATGAATCCCTGCCGTAAGCTGTAGCGACCTTCGCATCCAATCACTGTCGGGGGCTGGCCTCCGACAGGCAACGTCGAAAATCGACGACAACGACCTTGTTGTCTGTTGTCGCTGATAGGCTAAGAACGGCAGGGAAGAGACTGAGTCGCCCCGGCTCCAAAGTTACCAAAACGAAATTCAACGTCTCATTTGTGCTCTAGGCGTAATGTCCGACCTACCACTGGACTGCTGCTGAGATTGGGGAGTGTTGAATTGTCCTTGGTTCCGCTGGTGTTTCTGCGCAAAGTACCATTGTCGTCGACATCGATCGAAGCAGCCTTCAGCGCCCATTCAGCTGTCCTAGTCGGTGGGCGACATAGCACCCAAGGCATGCGGCCACGCGCTAACCGGTTCCTGCTCGCATTTCAGGTTGGTAAAAAACATTGCTTTACCAAAGTAAAAAGCAGCAGACCCTTTTGCTGTTTACAAACATGAACTGCCGCTTGCGTTCCAAGCGACTTCCAGTCGCACCGTCTATGCAAGCCTGCGGAACTTGCTAATGTCACCAGTGCTCGAAAGCATAAACGCTACGCGGACAACGAAGTTGGAGGTTGAACGAGGGCCTTCGGCTGTACAATACAACATCTTAGAGGGGGCAAGTTGGTTTACAAGAATACTCAAAACATTTGGACAGATCTCGCACTCCTTCGTTCTTTTGGCATTCACCTAGATAAACGTTTCATCTACATTTCAAGCACCGGCGTTTAGGTGGCCTTTGTTTATTCCTTTTATAAACCGTTTGCCACAAAAAAGCGGTCTCTTATGTTTGCCTTGTGGTGCTGCCACGCTCGGGTGCGTTCTGAAAGTGTGTTGCGGCTTGCTTTGTTTCGCTTTGTATTTTTATCCTTTTACTCAGCGGTGATGTAGAGGGAAACCCCGGTCCGCTGGCTAAGCAGCGGATGAAGGAAATCCTTGATGGCCAAGAGGCCCTGAACTGTAGCAGAAGCTCCAAAGAGAGATTAGAGCAGCATATTACAAAACTATTGAAATGGCTTCACCCATTCAAACTAAAGTCGAAGCGATTTCAGATTCTGTTCCCAAGCCTGAAGCGTGTGAGAAGTTTTTTCAGCACCTCAGGAGCCAAGTCTTGACGTTGAGCGGCAGAATGATAGCTCAGATAACAACAGCCCAAGCAATCTAATAGTGTACAGAAGGGACGAGGGCGTGCCTGAAACCAACGCTCAGCTAAAAGAAAAGGTGATCGTAGTCATTTTTGAAAAATAACTAAGTGTAAAGATATCTTCCACTAAAAAAAAAAGAAAAAGAAAAAGATTGGTTTGTAAGACAGCAGGCAGGGAAACCTCGGCCAGTACTTATAAGATTTCCTTCTCGTGGGGCAAAAAAAGAAGTCATGCGGAATGCGTACAGCCTGAAAGGTTCTGTTTGTCTTTATCTGATGACCAATCTATGGAAGTAACGTAAAAACGTCATTTTTGAGCATGCGCGAAAACTAAAAAGGAGGATCAAAACAATAAGGCCAAATTAAGTTATGAAAAACTTATAATAAACGGAAAACTAAAAAGGAGGATCAAAACAATAAGGCCAAATTAAGTTATGAGAAACTTATAATAAACGGTAGCCTGTTCACTTGGGATCCTGGAAAAGAGGAAGTTGTCGCTTTGGAGCGTACTTGACGAACTGATGTTACAAGGAATAGAGATCAGAGAAATGTTATAGTGATGGTATTGAACTGCAGAAGTGTGAAGAATAAAGGGGAATATTTGTCAGGATTCACTAGCTCTGTGCAAAGATAGTCCTTGAAGCGGAGTCTTTGTTATATGGTTCTTTATTTGATTACGAGGTATTTCCTGGCTCCTGTAACGCCTATAGAAAAGATAGGTTATCACAGGGGAGGGGTATTCATACTGGTGCACAGCTCCTTGAGAAGCTATCAACTAGATGTTTCACGTAATACTGTTGAATCACCGTGGTGTAGTGTTGGTTTGCCTGATAATAACCATTTCATTGTGAGAGTGCTCTACAGACCCCCTAACTCGGATCCTGCTACTAATGAGGTACTTCACGACCTAGTATTTAGCATTTCCAATTATTGTGTCGTGACTGGTGGCGATCTTAATTTACCAGATATGGCGCGGAGCGATGAACACTGCACATTTAGAACCATGAGTCGGCTGAACCCTGATCTTAAGTGCAGGGTAGACAGCTTAGCTTTTGCTCAATATCTCCTTGAACCTACACGAAACTCAAACATGTTTGACTTGATCTTTTGTAAGTACCCAACCGTTGTTAAAAACAAACAAACACAAACACACACAAAAAAAGAACAACACCAACAACAAAAAACGACGTATTATTTGGTGTTAGTGACAAAAGTGCTGTTGTTTCGACCCTTAGCTTTCGGGTTCCTCTCAAAAAAGTTAGCACAAATAGAAAGATGCTTTACGAAAAGGAAGAGGTGCCCGCAATCTGACGGAGGCTTATTGCGGAGAAGGCGCCGTGTAACCGAGCTTTTGGTTGCACGTCAAAAGATCCCCAGGTGGTCCAAATTAATCCTCAGTCCTCCGCTGGGGCGTGCCAGATGCCTGTCGTTGCTTTGGCACGTAAAACCCTCAAATTTGACTTTTACGAAAAGGAAGATTATGAAGGGATGAGCTTCAAGATACACAATAATTTTATCTGGTTTGAATGTCTTGCAGAGGAAATGAGTGTGCATGATGCATGGGTTTTATTTAAACAGAGAATTCTCAGCTTAACAGAGAAATACACTGCTAGCACAGACTCATCGAATCTAAAAGAGAGAAACTATGGATCACCGGTAGCCTGCTCCGTCTGATAAAAAAGCGCAAGCGTGTGTTTGCGCGGTAAAAAAGAACGGTTCAGCACAAAGCCTAGATAAGCAAAAATAACTCACGTTGAAGTATAAAATTACAGCAAGGCAAGCAAAATAAAATTACATACAACGGCTGGAGGATGAGATAAAAACTAATAATAAGCAGTTTTAGAAATATATAAGGTGTGCGGCGATGATCAGCGAGGTATAGTAGATGTCGTAATAACGAAACGACCACCGGTGATCAGCAAAAAGCAGAAGCCTTCAATAAATATTTTCAGTAAGTGTTTTTTACCTACTGATACCGTAACCTCTGATAGATGCTCGAACTCGTTCAGCGTAATGCCACCAATTGAACTTGGTGTAGGAGGTGTGTTGGGACTTCTAAAAATAATATTGATAAAACTAAAGCATTAGGCCCAGATGGGATCTCACCGAGAATATTAAAACCTCGTGCAGACGGAATTCCCTCATACCTTATAAATTGCAGGCCGATTTCACTAAAGTATATATGTTTTAAATTACAGGAGCATGTTTAATACTCGAACATCATTAATCACCTTAGCTTTAATAATTTTTTCTTTGAGTCGCAACACGGGTTTCGAGAGGGATATTCATGCACTACGCAACTGACCTAGCTGTAGCACGATATGGTAACGAATGTTTGCGGAGGCGGACAGATTGACTGTGTGTTTCTAGATTATATATAAAAAAAAAAGCATTTGACACATTATCACACTCACTGTTATTACACAAGTAAGAGCTCCTAAACTGGCATACTTAGGCGGATAAAAGCATATCTATCATCACGTCGTGAATGTGTTATTTTTAATGATGAAACTTCTAATTTTAGTGAGGTTACATCTGGCGTTCCGCGAAAGTCTGTTTTGGGACCGTTGTTATTTTTTATATCTATTAATTATATTAAAGATGGTCTGAATTTGGAGATACGATTATTTGCACATGAATGTGTCGTTTTGCACATGTATAACAGACGATGAGAACCCCACACGGTTGCAGGTTTACCTGAATCGAATAGAGCAATGGTGCAACAAAAAGTGGAAGATGGAGCTCAATGTTAAAATATATGTCCATGTTAGTTTTACTCGCCAAACCAAGACGAAAATTGAAACGCTTTATAAGTTGAATGAGGAAGTTGTACCCAAGAGCCAAGCAGTCAAATATTTAGGTGTCACACTATCAGCTGACTGCACTTGAAACGCTCACATTGACGATATTGTGATGAGGGCCGGCCATGCACAAAAATTCTTGAACCGAAATTAAAAAAAAAAAGTTAACTAAAACTATTAAAGAGCTCGCCTACCTTAACTCTGTACGACCAGTTTTGGAGTAAGCCTGCACCATCTGGGACACATTCGCAGAAAAAACCATGTTGCTGTTCTAGAGCGAATTCAAAATCGTGCAGTTCGATTCGTCCTGACCCTGTCCGACCATTTTGAGATGATGATTAAGCTTGATTAAAGAGTTAGGACAATATCCATTGGCACGACGACAAAAAAAATTGCGCCTAAAGCTTTTCTACAATCTCTATTTTATTACAAGATGCATTGATAGCGGATCCTATTTATTACCTCCAAATTACACATCCAAAAGAAATGATCACGTGCATAAAAAATACGGGAACTTCGCAACAGGACGAAATTGGGCAAAAATTAGTGTTCTGTAAAATCTTCTAAGGGCTGGAATGACTTGTCTTGTGAAAGTGTTTGGGCGGCAAATGCTGAACTGTTTTTCTCGTGTTTATTCGCCCCCTACAATAATGCCTTATGGAGCTGCAGGACCACCATGAATAAAGAATAAATAATAGACCAGCAGGCTACCTAGGCGTAATGCCCGACCTACAGACCAACAGGCTACCTAGGCGTAATGTCCCACCTGTAGACCAACAGGCTACCTAGACGTAATGTCCGACCTAGAGACCAACACGCGGCTCCGGCGTCTGGTCGCTGCGGTGGCGCTGCTGTTGACATGGCTCATTCGCAAACGCTTTGATTTGCGCAAATCTGGTTTGTGCGCACCCGGGTTGCCCACACCCGCGTGGGCAAACTCGGGCTTGCTTGCAAACAACGCGTTGGCCTATAGTCTGTTGCAGATCAAGGACTGCGGGACTAGCTCCTCCCATAAAACCCTATTTCAACTTTTACAGAGTGGATGCTCGAAAGAAGGCGAGTGGAGAGGAGAAGATGCAACCATGGCGAGCAGAGAGCCCTGCGGGAGTGCCTTGACCTGCCGTTCTTATCTTGGTCCGGATAACACCACTAACACACTGTTTACAAACGACGCGTGCGCACAAACCAGATTCGAGCGAGATGAAGCATCTGCCCAGGCGCTGCGCCAATTGAATCGCTGCGTAGAAACACTACTTGTAACAAACGCGGGGACGATATGATCACAAGGGCGTTCAGATAAACGCAGGTTAACGTACATTTGGTCCGTAGTGGATGCCTTCTCGCTCGTACCAGTGAAGTCAGCTCGTAGATCGTGGTCGAATTGCACGGATAATCGGACCCATTGGCAGGAAGACAAGCACTGACCACGTGGAGTATACAGAGCAGCGCTAGCAGAATCGCCGTGCAGGACGTTCGCTGTCCGGCTTGGGTGAGACGCATTACTTGTGCTCGGGGCTAGAAAAGAGTGACACAACCGAGGTTCAGATTCCAATACATTTTCTGTACAGTCATTTAGGCCACTCGGAATGTTTACGGAACGTTTTAGGGAATGGTTTGCGACCTTCTCCCCAAGAAATGTGGAGCGCTTGCCCGCGTGCCCATTTACAGTTTTAGAACGGGGGGCCCCAATGCTTTGTTTCCTCCGAACTGCTTGAGGGCGCCGCACCGCGTATGCTCAGAACATCTACGTTTTCGCAGTGCAATGTCCCAAGCTGCATGGGGGACCCAAATCGTTGCGGCCCTTTATTATAAAAAAAAAAGAGCCCTATTGTCTTGCGCGCGCAAGAGCGAGCTAGGGTTCGCAAAATTGTAATACAGTATAATTGCGATACAGTATATCGCTAAAGACACGCTACATCATTTTGTGGTGTGATACCACTGTTTTGTAAACAACTGAGTATAAAGAGAAAGCCGAACGTATGCGTATACATGCTGATACCTTAACGCAGTGGTTTTGAACCATTGATGTTTCCCGTACCTTTTAGTGAATCGGTGGAGATGATGGAAGACCCCGTTTGTGGTAAGAAGAAGGGAAAGGTATAGGTTAACTGTGATAATGATTTAAGAAGCGGATATAACTAAGGGCTAGTGTGAAGTAGACTTGTCTTATTGACATCCACACGAGAGAACTCACCCGGAAACTAAAACGTCTTAGAAATCTGAAAAAAAAAAAAATATATTTCCGCATTGTTTGTTATGGCGTCGGAAATGGTTGGACTAATGTCTACTCTTCTTGTTTTTCCGCCAACTGTCGCTGCGAAATCGATTGCACAAACATTACAGCGGGAAAACAGCCTGTATGAAAATGCAAGACATTGGTTTTCCGTTATGCTGGCAAAAATTCGGTTCCTGCGGTATTTCTGTAAACTGGAGTTTTTTGACGCATACGCCTTGATTGCTGTAAAGGCGGTGCAACGCCCGGTCGCCGAGATCTGTGAAAGATTACGCAAAGTTCATAATCTTTGATTTTTGATGAGCGAGCTTTTTCTTAACGTGAAGGTGAGTAAACCCGCCTCCTGAAACCTTATGCTGCCCGGCTATCGGGGAAAAAAAAAGCGTCATGATTGGAGAGAAGCGAGAAAATCAATATTTACATTTCTGTGGTAGTTCATTTTTGCGCATTTGTCGCACTAAATGATGGTAAATCTGGACATCAAAATTAAAAAGACGGTTCCCAAATATGATGTGATCAACGGCACACGCGATAAAATATATGAGTGTCTGCAAATGACTACATTACTTTAAAAGTACCAAATAATTCTAACGATATCATTTTTTTCCAAACTGACAGAGACAAAAAAATTCGTACAATGTGACAAGGAGATGATGAGCATAAACATTGAGGTGCTTTTTTACAAATAAACTTTACTGGGAAATAAACATGTCCCACTTCTGTATATGCTTATTCAGAATAATAAAATAATTAAGATTACATCAAATGCAAAGTACATAGGTTTCGGTTTTATTATGCGCCGTGTCTTCTCGTGCGAGGTTTATGTCTAAATTATAGTTTTAATGGAGTATGCATACTTATTGGAAAATTTTAACGGTCTTCAAGGCAAAAAGGAAGCGTTTTAGGTTATATTTACTCGCTTATGCATTAAATACGTATCCACTGAATTAGTGAACCAACATAAAAATTTTGTTTTTAAAAGTTATCTTTTAAGCAGCAAAACAGGCGTGAAAGTGATCCCAAATCGGGAGTCACTTAGTGAACGCAGGCCAGCTTTTAAGGAAAAAAACAAACAAACAAATAAAACAAATTTACATCACTTCTACAACAAAATAATCTAAAAAAAATTGGAATGCGACTTTAGAGCCCAGAGCAATCTTTTGATATAACGGGAGTAATGAACCACTTGCGCCGAATCTGACCATACTCCTGTCAAGCTGATATGTGTTTTCTAGACACATTGAAGACGGATCTTGGGCAGATTTTTGAAGTTGCATTTGACAAATAACGCGCTTTTTATATTCCCGTTTGCATTTGACGAATAACGTATTCTAGGGTGTGCGCATAGTGTTTCTTATGCAAAGGACACATACCTACGGCATAGATCTCACAAGAGAGCCCCTTTAAAACAACGGTCACCTCCCCCCGGGCTCTGATTAGTACTAGGGGAAAAACTCTTGTAGACATATTTGATTCAAACCTGTTCGCACCTCCCTAGTTCGTTTTTATTATAGGAGGTACGTTGATGTACCCTTGTTTCAGAAATCCCCTGCACTAATGCGGTTGGTAATGCAGGTTTTCTTTTGAATCGATACATGAACGTGCACCCTACACTAGAGACAACAACAACTAAAAAGACGCGGGATGTGGCGAGTATCGACCATGCTATTATAGCGCCACAGTCCATGGGACTACTGAATTAGCCGGTAAGAGCACCCGAATCACGAATAAACCAAATTCCCAAATCACGAATAAGAAGGGTGAACACAATTGGACACCCCTTGCGTTTATTACGTTGTGAGCTACTGAGTAACACAGAAGCTTTAAAAAATTGTTCTGATACGGTAGCCGGAGGTGTCTAAAAAAAAAGAAGAAAACAACAGAAAAAAAATTATCGGGCAACGACATAAACCTATTGTATCAGGAGAGGTTTTTTTTTATCTTTCACGATGAAGCTCCAATATGTTTGTACTCTTAAATGACTGAATTAAAATGACGACCACATATACCGAACTTTCCGGATTATGGCCAGCTGACGATGCACGTGTAAAACTTAAAATCTGAGAATTTACGCGGTGCGTACTATCTAAGGCTGCACTATACAATTTTTTTCTTTTCTAGATCGTTTACTATGGCTGGATGTGACGGGTTTTGTGGACGACGGGCAGATTTGTACTGTACTTATATAGAGTAATCACATTACTTGTAATACATTACTTTTTTGAGGAATGTTGTAGTCATTTCAGTACATTGATTGGGAAGTAATCGCGAGAGCCATCTGGATACTTTTGGAAGTACTAATATTACTTGTAACCGCTACTATACCCCCTCCCCCCCCCCTTTTTTTTGTCTTATGGCGCACTTTGTACAAGCTTCTACCAAAGGGTACTAAAACTAAATCTCTGACAGAAGGAGGCTTGGTTTACCGAAATTGGTCGATTAAGAAGGTGAGTAGTTGATATTTCGGTGATTCTAATCCATTATTAGACAGTACGCAACATCTTCGGACCGGCCGAAAGATTTGTCGTTTTGAGTGTAAAGTAATCAGAGAGGCAACGGTACTTTTTCAAGTGACAGCCAATTAATTGAATACTTTCTAGCCTAAATGATTGTAATTTAATAGATTACATATAATTTGGAAGGGTTCGGAGAATACGCCAACTCTCGACAGTTCTTATTGAGGTGGACGTTTTGAGGTACTTATTTGCGTGCTTAAAACACCCAAAAAGGACAAGAAGAGCAAAACATTTATAGTGGATTCATGCAGGAGCTGGAATTGCAGCCTCACATATTGAATGTAACGTCATCCTGTACGAACCTTTCAGAACCAGTTCAATCTGCTGTGGACTGCCTGAAACAAATCGGTTTTGCCAGTTCCGAAGATGAAACGAAGCTACAAAGAAAGGTTCGCTGCCACGAGCAATGACTACGAAATCGACAACACAGCCTTATACTTTCTTTCCAGGTAAACAACCAGAACAACGATAAGCCAACGCTACTCACCAATTGTGGATATGTGTCCTCATTCGCGTCTGACCGTCAATACGTGACGACTGGCCGTTGGACGACTGATACGTATACACAGATGCCTTCGACCAGGCAGCACCGGTTCGAAATCTATCAGACAATCACGCTGACACGCACGGCATTTTGAGTGATATCCGCTCAGTATCTCGCTTACAAGGCGTGAATGCAACCCCCATATCGTGCACTTAAGCAGCGCAGTCTTTTGGCTTGAGGCAGATACAACATAGAGGCTCTGATAAGCAGATACAACTTAGAGGTTCTGATACTTAGGTTTACAGCAAAAGCTGCTGGGCGCCGGTGCTTTGCTGCTAGTGTTGTGTACTTCGGCCCTTCTTTTAACCCCGAAGAGTGTGCAAGAGGTTTACTGCGCCACTATTCTTCGTTTCAGTTGTTCTGTCGCAACCGACGCTACGGGATAATGAGACCGACCAAGCAGCCTCAAAAGCGCAAGTCACTGGGCCTTTTCTGTTTACGATTCTTTCAGCGATGAATTGAACACGGACAGAAACATGACGAACACGATGATGGTGCGCTTTTGAAGCTGTCTGATTGGTCCCATGAGCTCGTAGCGTCGGTTGCGCCGCGTTTGGACCGTAATGTGAAACAAAATGTAGTGTGTCCTTCTGGAGTACTGGTTTTCAAGGTTATAGTGTACTGCATGTTCTGTTCCATTCGGAGCGGCGAAATGCATTGATAAGTTTGTATATATGTATTGTGATCGCGATCCGTCGGGAGCTAGGTTCAACATTCTCGTCAACGAATTGAGCAAGATATATAACACGAAGAAAAAAAAAAACGCATATAAGTAGCACCGTAGTGTAAGATGGTCATTTAAAAAAAATAGAAAAGAAAAACCGCCACCTAGACATCGAAAAATACGGCATTCTAGAATCTTTCTATGACGTGCGTTCACGCGGAGTATTTTTGTGCCCACGGTGGCTAGGATACGTGTTGAATCGTAGACGTTGTTACAACGTGTATATAAAAAGTGTCATAATGCTATGTTTGTTTTTACGCTGTTTATTTATTTATTTATTTCAATACCTTCAAAGCCACACGGCATTACAGAGGGGAGGGGGGGGAAACAAATGATAGAATTCAACACATATTAGTTAACATAATAGTTTTCAATGGCAGACTTGAATGCAGGAGCGTCTGTGATTGTGGCGATGGAGGTGGGCAGGTGTTTCCAGTCATTATTAGTTCTTGGGACAAAAGAATCGAAAAAGAGCTTCGTGCGACTGAAAGGAACGTTGACTTTATTGTGATGATCTTTTCGATGGGATACATACGATGGTTCAAAAAAAAGCTCTTCACTTAGATGCTGGTTGTGATGATAACTTTTGTGAAGTAAGGACAAACGAGATAATTTTCTACGCAATGAAAGATTCGGAAGATGTAAAGTTAGTTTCATGAATGATACACTGAAAAAACGTGAGAAATCAGACAAAGTAAAATGTGCGCAACGATTTTGTACAGATTCGATTTGATTAATTAGAAATTCATGGCCTGTGTCCCACACCGAACTCGTATACTCAAGCTTGGGTCTAACGAGGGTCTTGTACAGTAGTAGCTTTAATGATGAAGGAGCCCTTGTGAAGTTGGGGCGTAAGTAACCTAGCATGCGATTAGCGTTGTTAGCAATAAAGTTAATGTAAGTTTGCCAGGAGAGGTTAGATGTTATATGGACACCTAGGTACTTGTACGATGTCACCTGTTCAAGAACAGAACCAATGTTATATTGAGGAAAGTTAATATAGGCAGCTTTCCGTGAAATTCTCATTACTCTACATTTACTGGCATTAAGGCGCATTTTCCAGACGTCACACCAGTTAGTAATGGAATTAAGGTCAGTCTGAAGAAAAGACGTATCAGTATCAGAATAGATTACACGATTAATGACACAATCATTGGCAAACAACCTTATGGATGGGTGGACATTGTTAACGAGGTCATTTATGTATATGAGGAAAAGAAGGGGGCCGAGGACGAAACCTTGCGGCACACCCGAACTAACAGGGCAGGGAAGAGAGTGAGTCATTTGCAGATACAAACTTCGTTCTGTTAGAGAGAAAATTTTCGATCCATGCAAGAATGTTAGAGTCAATGTGTCAAAGTTTAGTTTTTTTTTTTCAATTTTAAGCAGAGCAGTTGGTGAGGAACTAAATCAAAGGCTTTCGAAAAATCAAGAAATATGCAGTCGTTTAACGAAGCATAAGACAGCTTTCCGCCCTACCGTGCTAGTAAAATCCCGGAAAATCGAAACAATTTTCTCTAAGAATGCAGTGTGTAAAATTGTTCCTTTAGAAACATCCGGTACAATAAAGGATCTCGGTGCCTTAGTTATTTCAAATCTGGGAGCTAATATCAAACGTGGGTGTCATAACTAGTTTAATGTTATCATCAGGCCATTCAAATGAGGCATAATTAAACGTAAAGCAGTGGGTATATGATGAGTAGGTAACGCGATAAAGAGGAATGCGGCTACACAAGACATGACTGATTTCTCTGGATAAGAAGACCGGACCGAGTCCGTCCGCTGATTACGTGTTCAACACCCAAGAGAAACACATATCTACAAGGAGAAACCAGGTTCCACTCCTGCTGATTGAATATTCAATAAACGCAAGCCCAGCGATGTCTATCGATAACGCAGGGGTTAACTACGGCAGCGGAACAGATGTCCCGCGCCACAAGTTTAACAAAGAGCTATGACTGATCCACTAGCCGACACTTGTCGTACCAGTGAACTCAATTATCAAGACACCATACCTGCGCGACCTTGCCCAAGCCATACACTGACACCCAGGGGGAAGAAAGCGACGTGCACCCTTGCTGGCGCCGCTTTTTATAATCGATCGGCAACGAGGTTCCTCCCAGCCACACCAGGGGGCGCTTTGACACACTGTATTTGTCAGAAGGGCTTACAGAGGTCACGACTCACTTCGCTCTCCCGAATCTCCCCGCGAGCATTAATTAAGCCAGAGAGTCTGGCGCCTTGCAGCAAGTGTCACAATCACGTAAAAACAACTGAAAACAAACAAACAAACAAACAAACAAACAAACAAAGTAACGTATGTTTTTTTTTTTTGCGTTGTCGGTATTGTGAGGCATGTATCTGGCGCTAGGGAGCAACGATAATCAAGTGATTTTCACCTAAAAAATAATCTACCTACCTGTTTCCGCACGGTCTTGGAGTTCGTCAATCGTGTTCAAATCTATTCGTAACGGATATTGTGGGACGTATGGATACTATCGACAGGTGAGAAACTACTTATTTACTGTCTTTCTTCGTCATGTAAGACGCGAATAAAGTACTGCAATCGTTTTTTTTAAATATTCTGGTACAATGGAATTTTGTTTTTTGTCGTTATCTGTGTGCAGTTGCTTCGACATTTGTACATATGTGTGATAATGTATTTTCACTTGAAGGTGAGAAACAAGTTTGTGTGAATATTGAAAGTGCGTTGTTTGTGATTAAGTGTTTATTTAAAGTAATGATATTTTATTGCGTTTACCGCGCTTATAGTAGAATTTTAACTGTATTAAGGCATTAGTATTATTGTAGACTAAATAAGTTATACTTTGTTCTAAGGCAGCTGGAGCCCACAGGGAGAAGTAAATTAGTTGTTTAAAACGTACAGGCGAAAAAAACGGGACGGAGGAAAGGAGACATGTAGTAAGTTTAGTACCCCTGACACACGGAAAAGTTAATATATTTACATTCAATGATATGAAAATTAATCAGCTCGCGATCTTGAGTGATTATACGAATGTTGCAAGCTCATTTGTCGACCCCACAATGTCATTTGATCGAAATTGCAAAAAGTTTTCCATGTGGCCGGGGTATAATGCAAGAATTCAGTGACTGCACGCGATAACATCGCTTACATGATCGTAAGTGTCACTTGTCTTGCCGTGTCCGCGTTGACTACGTCTACCTGATTTCTAATTGTGATCTGTTTTGCTGTGTGCAGTCACTGCGTGTCTCGTCATTTTGTCGAAGTATTTCTGTATAAAATATGTATTCCTACAGCAATAATTGCGGGACTGAATGTTTTCCGAGTTAAAACAAGCATTTTTTATGGACGCCTTAACCCTTACAAAAAAATTATATCTGGCCAGATCTGAAGATTTCAGATATGGCACAAAAAAATTGGCACATATAACCTGATATGGTATACCTGCCAGATATAGTCTGATATCCCTGGAGAGGTATGGAAATCCCAGATCTGGCTAAGTATGGCAATTCCAGATCTGTCCACGGATTTCAAAAGAAGCACAGAAGCCTGAAATCAGCACTTTATATCTTTTTACGGCCCACAATAGACCATTGTTTTCTACTTGTGTGTTGCCCTGTGTGCCCTCTCCTGCCTTGGCTGCCAAATGGCAGCCGGGAGTACGTATAAATAAATTTGCTAAATACCCCAAGTGCTACGGCCTGCACTTGGGGGGTCGTATTACGGTGTTCCTTCAGGTGTAGCTTGAAACAACCCATTCCCGTTTGAACCCGTCCCGTTTTGACCGATTCCCGAAACGACCCTTCCGTTTGAACCCGTACCGTTTCAACCCATTCCCGTATCGCCCGTCCCATTTGAACCTGTCCCGTTTCAACCCGCTCCCGAAACGCCCCTTTTGATATGAACGCGTAGCAAAACACCCTTTACGTTTGAGCCCGTCCCGTTTAAACCCATTGGTATAAAGCCCCACAAGACTTTTCGCGAAAAGTCTCCATTGTTTTAACCCTGGGTTGAGCACATTTTCTCCTTAAGAATAGGTTCCGAAATTTTGTTAATTCAATTAATGCAAAAGTGCCGGCGAGATATTTAGTTATGTTGTGAACTAGGTTTTATTGTCAACGTATTCTTCAAATATACATCACTTTCAGACAAGCTCCAGCGAAATATTTTTCTACTTGAACCACTTGAAATGTTTCGTTGAAGATGGTCCCCGAAATGTGGAACTACAAAACGGACTATGTACACTACGCGACAACGTTACCGCGAACACGATGTTGACGACTTTTTAAATGTTGCTTCAAAATGATGTTAGAAGGTACCAAATCGTACCGCCTAGGTT